GATGACGATGGTAGTGGTGTGATGATGATGGCGAAGAGGTGGAAAAGGAGGAGGAGGGGGAGGAGGAGGAGGAGGAGGAGGAGGAGGAGGAGGAGGAGGAACGGCAGGGTGAGGAACACCCGAGCTCCCATGGGCCCGATTTGAGCCATTTTGGGGTTTGCCGGGGCTCCTGCGGGGCAGTTTGTTTGGCCGTTTTGGAGCCCTCGTGGGCCGTCTCGGGTTTCTCGCGGGCCATTTGGGGCTCCCTTGGCCTGATGGGGGGCTTGTTGGGGCCGTCGTGGGGCCATCTTGGCGCCGTTTTGGGCCGTCGATGGGGGCCATCTGATGCCGTATTCGCTCCGTCTTGAGGCCCTCTGGCCCTCTGGAGGCCTCTTAGGGCCAAGGCCTCATGGGCCATCTTGGGACGCATGGGGGTTTCTTCAGGCCATTTTGGAGACTTCCCGGCCCGTCTTGAACTGACGGAAACCCACGATGGCGGAGATGCGAAGATCCGTCAAAAACCAATGGGACATGGATGATTTCCGCATTTGGGGGCCCAGTTGGGGGTCGTATTGCGGCCCGTGGGCCCTTTTGGATACATCCCGAGCCGTCTTGGGCCGTTTTGGAGGCCAACTTGGGCTGCGTTGGGGCCATCATGGGCTGCTTTCGGGGCATATTCGGCCATCCTGGCGGCCTTGGTTGCCTGTTTGGGCCGCCTAGCAGCTCGGGGCGCGGACCAATCGTTCTTGTAGTGTCCCAGGTAGCCGTCGGAGATGGGGGCGAGCCATGCAGTGATGCGCTGGTGGAGAGGGGATGCCCCTTCTTAGAAAGCAGAAAACCCTACCAGGCAGCCCTTGGCATTCTTCTACGCCTCCGCGTGCCTAAAGCACAGTGGCGGATCTCACATGCCGAATCACCCCAAGGTGTCGGTGAATCATGGGGGACGTCGGCGGCGCAGGTGCGGGGGATAATGAAATGGAGCAAAACGCGCAAGAGAAGGAGGGCGAGGGTAAACTGAGGGGCGTGAAACAAATTGTTGATGAGGAGTTTGGTGATGGTGGTTGTCGTGGTGATGATGCTGGGAATGAAGACGATGATGATAATGCGGATGGTGGTGATGATGACGAGAGTGATGATGGTGATGGTGGTGATGATGACGAAAATGGGTATTGGTGATGATGATGGTGATGACGGTGGTGATGCCGCGGTAACGTATGATTATGGTGATCCATATGAGGACGGTGATTAGGATGATGCTAATGACGGCTGAGATGATGATGTTTGTGATGTTGATAGTGATAAAGATGGTGACGGTGATTGTAATGATGGTGATGGACACGCTAATAAAGAGTTACTTGGTAGTGATGATGATTGGGATGGCTATGTGGATTATTATTGCAAGGCTGATTTTACATTAGATAACTGTGATGATGCTGATGGTGATGATGATGGTGAAGATGATGGTGGTGATACTGATGCTGATAATGATGGCGATGGTGATGGTGGTGGTGGTGATGCCGGTGATAATGACGTGGTGAATGCCGATGATGATGGCGATGACGATGATGCTCAATGTGAGGATGATGACGGTCGTGCTGCAAAGGAAGATGTTGAACATGATGGCGCTGACGACGGTATTGATGATGATGGTGGTAGGGATGATGGTGATTGCGACGGAACGCAGGATGAGGATGTTGATGACGATGACGATGACGATGATGATGTTGATGATGATGACGACGATGACGATGACGACGCTGAAGGGAATGAACAACGATGGTGGTAACAGTTGTAATCACGGTGCTGGTGATTGCTATCGTGATGATTATGATGTTGATGAGGTCGAGGACTCTGATGATGATCCAGTTCAGGATGATCGTCAGTGCGATACTGACGACTATGACGATGGTGATGTTGATCGTGATGATGTTTATGATGATGATGATGATGATGATGCTGGCGACGGTTCCAGTGATGATGATGATGATGATGGTGGTGGTGATGATGATTGATGATGATGATGATGATGATGATGATGATGATGATGATGATGATGATGGTGGTGATTTGCCTGATGAGGATGCTGATGGTGATGGTGATTGTGATGCTGATGCGGATGGACCATTTAGGGGATGGAACACACACGTACACATTTCATACATATATAAGCATATATGTATATTTCTATAAATCGAGAGAGAGAGAGAGAGAACAAAAAATAGAGGAAGAGAGAGAGAGAGAGAAACAGAGAGAGAGAGAGAGAAAAAAGAGAGAGAGAGAGAGAGAGACAGAGGGACATAGAGATAGAGAGCTAAACCAAAAAAGAGAGAGAGAGAGAGAGAGAGAGGACGGAGGAGAAACGGGGTCCATCTCCCCTTCCCGCGTGCGCCCCCACTGGTGTGCCAGGCGGAGGAACCCTCGTTGAGGCGGCCCGGCGGGGGGTGCCTCTGAGAGGGGGGGCGCTTCCCGCGTCTCTGAACGCGGCCTGGAAAAGGAACGCTGCCCGCTGATGCGTGCTCACGAAGGAGAGGGAGAGGCAAAGAGGATGACATGTTGTTGTTGTTGCTGATGATGGTGGTGATCCTGCTGCTGCTGCTGATGATGATGATGATGGTAGTAAGAGTGATGATGATGACGGTGCTGCTGATGATAGTGATGGTGATAATGACGATGCTGATGCTGCTGCTGATGATGATGCGACTGCAGATGGACATGAATATGAAGATGGAGATGGTGACGATGATGATGATGATGATAACGATGCTGATGGTGATGATGAGGATGATGGGGATGATGATGGTGACGATGACTATGGTGATGATGGTGATGCTGATGATGTTCATGATGACGATGATGATGATGTCACAGCGTATGATGATGTTGATGATGCTGATGATCTTGATGATGATGAGGTGATGGTGGTGATGAGAATGCTGATGAGGATGGAAATGATGATGATGATGATGATGATGATGATGATGATGATGATGAGATGATGGCGATGATGTTAATGCTTCTGCTGCTGCTGATGGTGATGATGGTGATGTCGTCGATGATGATGCTGATGTTGTTAATGGTGATGATGGTGATGATGAAGTTTTTGGTGATGAGGATGATGCTGATGAAGATGATGGTGATGATGGTGATGGTGATGCTAATGGTGATGCTGATGCTGATGATGATACTGATGATGATGATGATTATGGTGGTGATGATGATAGTGACGATGATGATGATCATGTTGATGATGATGATGATGCTGATGACGATGATGACGATGAGGAGGATGCTGAGGATGATGATGAAGTTGATGATGATGATGACGAGAAGGATGATAATGATGATAATGATGATGATGATGGTGATTATGATGCTGACGATGCTGACGATGATGATGGTGGTGGTTGTGGTGATGATGATGATGATTATGATGATGATGATGATGATGCTGATGCTGATGCTGATGCTGATGTGATGATGATGATGAGGATGATGAGGTGATGAATGGTGGTGGTCGGTGGTGGTGGTGATGAATGATGATGGTTGATGATGACGATGATGATGACGATGATGATGATGATGATGGTGGTGGTGGTTGGTGATGAGATGATGATGATGTGATGCTGATGATGTTGATGATGCTGATGTATGAAGAGATGATGCTGCTGCTTGAAGCTGATGCTGATGACTGATGCTGTAGGATGATGCGGATGATGAGGATGATGAGGGATGATGAGGATGATGAGGATGAAGCGGATGATGAGATGATGATGATGGATGACGGACGACGACGACGACGACGACGACGCCGACGATGTTGATGATGATGATGGATGATTCTGCTGATGATGCTGAATGATCGATGGATGAAAGATGACGATGATGATGATGATGATGATGATGACGTGATGCCGATGATGATGATGATGTGATGGTGATGTGATGGGATGGTGACTGATGATCGATGATTGATGATCGAAGATGTTGATGATGAAGATGATCATGTCATGTTGCTTCTGATGATCATGATGATGGAGATGTGGTGTTGATGATGATGATGATGATGATGATGATGACGATGATGACGATGATGATGATGATGATGATGATGATGATGATGATGATGATGATGATGATGATGATGCTGCTGCTGATGATGATGATGATGATGATGATGATGACGACGACGAAGAGGAGGAGGAGGTGGATGCGGAGGAGAGGGGGGTGGGGGGAAAGGGATGGGGGAGGGAGGGAGAGGGGTGGGGAGAGGAATGGAGGGGAGGGGACGGGGCAGAGGGGGAGGGCGCATGGGGGAAGGCGTGGAGTGGAGTGGACGCCGTTGCGGAAGCAAGATCCCAATCCCTTACACATCACGACTCGAAGCGGCCCTCGAACGCCTGGCAGCTTGTTCTGCCTGGCTCAGGACTTTGGGCTGTAACCCCCTTCTGATCCTGTCAAGGTATTCACGCTTGGTCTTATTCAGCTTGTACGAACAGGGGGACTTAAGCGATCGCAAAGCCTTATCTGCGATAGCTCCACATTGGGTACAAAACCACACCTGAAGCCCCTTGTGCACATTCAACGTGTGAGTACTATGTGCCCAGCCCCCCGCGATATGAATTCTATCCCCTTTGAGAGGAGAGAAAATGACCCCATCAACATTATATAACCTCGGACATGGAGTCCCGATCCATTCACCTACTGTAGCTTGAGTAGCTGACCCGAAACACTTCAGACAGCGTCTCTTACAATCAGCTAAGGAGTGGGGCGAAAGGAGAGCCGCAACAGCAGCAGCAGCAGGAGGAGGCGGGAGGGGAGGGGGAGGAGGCGGAGGAGGAACCTCAGGCCTACTCAGTCTAGCCGCCTTCTCAGCTTCCGTCGTCGCTGCAATACTGCCCATCGTGGCACGCAACAAACGCATTCTGATCAAGTACGCTCGGCGCTCGTGCAACAACACCCGTGTCCTAATACTTTCAGGCGCTCGCACGCGGTTGGCAGCATACCCCGCAAACTCGTCAGCGATAAGGTTACCAATGACAAGGCTCCGAAAACATGTACCAGCTACGATGTCCCTAGCATTCATATGGGAGTGTGTCCACAAGACGACCACATGTCCCACAACACGGGTGCGCATCAGCTCGCCAATCTTATTCCATATATCTGCATCCTCCCCGTCTGGGGACAAGTACCTACCGTCATACCACCCTTTCGCCACCAGTTCGCAGTCCGTCACAAATGTGACAAAGTCAGATCCGCACCACAAAGCCAAATACAGGGCAAGTAATTCGCCTCGGGCCACCACCTGTCTGTCTCCAGCAAGCGGTCCTGACACGGTCGCACGAATCTCAACCTGGGGAAGGATAGCCGTCAGGCATACTATAGCAACTCCAACTCGACGAAACTTATTCGAAGACGACTCAGCACCTCCTGAGGCATCTCCAAAGATAAGAACAGGATCCACTGCACAACCTGGCCCCAGACATCCCTCCTCGAGCCCATTGAGCCCTGTGGTTTCCCAGTCTTCAGTCTGAGTTGGTCGGGGTACTTGGGTCCATTCATATGGTATCATACCACGCAGCCAAAACGCCTCAGCAGTATTGAATTGTGTGTGTGCTTGGGGAACCATATCACTAGTACGCGTATAAGGTACAGCTCCCTCGTTTTTGTCACAGCCCCAATACCTGTGAAACGGCGTTTCAACTGCGCCTTTACATCGATCACACTTATCATTTCCTTTGTACTTAGCTAACTGATCACACTTCCGCTGTTTGGTCCAGAAACCTCCAGTACAGATATTTACCATAAGCTCCCCCAAATGTGTCCCATGCGGCAGTTTGTTTAGCATTTTGATCAGCCCCCTATACGATTCCATATCGGCTCCGTGCTCTAAACCTCCACCACAGTAATGTTTAGACGCCTGTTGCCAGTTCAATCGTCTTGCTGAATCTTTGATATCATTAAGTAGATGCCGATGGTGATCCAAAGCCGGGTTGCCAGTGTATATGTGATCTGGGAACTGCCACTCTTCTTCTGAACCAGAACGTGAAATATACGACCAAGAATGCGCCTCGGTGGGTTCCCATTGCAGCCGTAACAAATTCAATATCGTCGCCGATATCGGCCCTTTCACTGCGCGAACTTGGTCCCCTGGGTTCCGATTTTTTAGCTCAGCCACCACTTTGGGCCAAACAAACCGAATGCTTTTCCTTAAATCGGGATGGGCTTGCCAGGACTTTAGCCATTGATCAATACACTGAGTAGGGTACAACACTGACGGATCGGCCTCAGGGGCCCTCAACTCCAGCAAAGATGTAAGACATCTGCCTTTGGTGCCCGCCCCACACGTTTGGCCTAACCGGCGCCTGCACTGCAACAGCTGTTGACCAAATACCCCATGGACTTGATGTCCATAGGTCCCTGCCGCTTGTCCCCCAGCCCGTTCGATTTTTGACATAATATGGTATTGCTTAGAAACCCTCGTAAAACGTTTAACTTTCTCACTCATCTTGGCGTGTTTATCATCTCGCTGTCTTCGAGTCTGCCGGCCTCTTCGGCCACAACTAAAGTCTACTCCGAGGTAAGCTGCTTGTTTGGCCACGCTCAAAGGGAAGCCCTGCAAACGAGCTGCTCTCACAACTGCTTGTGCATCACTCAACGTAGTACACATCACCACTGACTTCTTTGCGATCTTAAGTCCGACTTTAGCCAACTCTTGTCCAGTCTTGATACCAGCTCTGGTAAGATTGCGCCGAACAGCCTGCCGCGAGCCCGTTGTACGCTGGGAGATATCATCGATCCAAACTCGATGTCCCATCTGCGGCGTAGCAATCGTCACAACTTTCAAAACAAAATGTGCAAGTACTTTGGCAAATCTCGTGCCGGACCTCAAGCCCTGCACCACCGATTGGCACGGCTCGAAAGGGTCGGACGCGGCCCCCTCCTGCTCCAGCGCGCGGACCACGACGCACTGCAGCAGCTCCAAGTAGAGCACCGTGGGGGGGAACCCCAACTTGAGCGCCGCTTTGACCAGCGGCGCCCAGGGGATCGTGTCGTAGAACTCCTGCACGTCGACGAGGTTGTGGCCGAACTGGAGCTGCATCCATGCCGCCAGCTCCTCATCGATGGCCCTGAGGTAGGCCTCCTGCAAGCACGAGTTGCCCGCCACCGCCGCGTCCCAGGCCTGCTCCTCCTGCGCCGACCACTGGCGCACGATCGGCTCTCGAACGTGCGACCACAGCCTGCCCAGCATGGAGACAAGGCCTATGGCCCTGTCCCCCGTCACCTTTTTGGGGGTCAGCTTGCCGACCACCATCATCGTCTGCACGGGCCACACCAGCAGATGCTCGATGCTCTGCAGGATGACCGCAAGCTCCGCGATCGCTGGGCCTGGCAGCCGCTGGAAGTCCACTGGGGACAGCATGTCCACGCCCATGCCCGCCTTAGCCTTCATGGCCTTGGCGCTGGCATAGATCTGATCGACCTGGATCGGCGGTAAGGGTTCCATTTCTGCTGCAACTCTGA